GCTCCCCCCCCCCCCCCCCCCCCCCTCTTCCTCATCATCCACCCCAAATTTCCTTTTTTGGCTTAGTTGAAGAAATCCCCGTTTCCAATTTTCTTCTCGAAAGAAAAAATGTGAGCATGGTTGGAAGGTTCTGGAATCATATTGATGTCTGTGATCAGCTAAAGAAACTTTTACGACGGAAGGAATATCGGATACTCGTAGGAACTCGTGTTGCCATTTGCCAAAGATTTACCGGGGAAAGGAAAAGTCGGAACGGAATTCATGTCCAAAACGGAAGTGCGCTAGTCGGAAACAAAACCCGGAAAAAAAAAGAAACCGGGAAGCATTTGTGTGGAAGTGTTTTGGGAATATTTTCCTTCGTTCATATCATCACCTTTTTTCAATTTTATTTTTATTTTTTGATATCTTGGCAAGAGATTTTTCATTGTCGGATTCTGTACCGTGAAGGTATTCACCGTATTTACACAAATATAAAGCGCTTTTTCTCAGAAATTTTGAAGGGAAAATTAGAGCTTGTCTTGGAATAGATAGCATTTTTGATTATAAAACAAAATGTTCGTCGGTGGATTTTTGAAGCATTAAAAGCCTCAAAGATAATATAAAAACTAAATGAGCATCCTCCTAATGCTGAAAATACTTCTAAAGCACTTCGTGAACTAAATTCTGAAAATATGAAGCGTGAGTTGAGAAAATCGTAGGTACATTTGTCTTGAATACTTGATGTTTGGGGTAATGATATTTGTAGAAAGATTAATATCAATTCAGACAAGGGAAAGCTAGCTTTTTTGCAGTATGTTCTTGAAACATCTCTTTGTACAGTAGGAGTTTCTCTCTGTGTGGGGAGTCTGAAATTTTGTAGTTGATAATCTTTGTTTCATTAGTCGAATGAAATTAAGATTTGAAGTAACATAGTTGCCATTTTATATTTGTCTAAATACGGTTGCAATCCGCGACGGAAAAATTAGATAATTACCGTATTATGTGGACTGTGTTGAGTTGAGATTCGAGTGAAGATGTCCAATTCTTGTTTTGAATTTGTAACCTTTTCAGATTGTCTGAAAACTTTTGCTTGGCATTGCTTTATGGGCAGTATTTTAGTGTTGTCAGTATATTATGAAAACCAGTCAGCAGTCAGCACCTTGACAAAATCGTTGCGTAGATTATCATAGCACAAGAATACGACGAAGAAAATCCAAATAGTCAAGCGACGAAGTTCAAAAACTCGTTCATTTCGTATTGTTCAATTTTTTTGTAAGGAGCTGAATGTCATCCCCATGTTTTGAAAAGAAAAAAAAAACGTAGGTGTTGTGTCTTCCCGAGACGCGATTTGTTTTGTTTTAATTTTTTTGCGTTAGAAAAAAATCGTTTTTTCTGGGTTGTTGAACAAATTGTTGGAATCTGTGTGCTTTGATATGCCACGAATAGTTTTGATCTTCCTTTCCGAAATGACGCATTAATCATGCAAACACGATATTTGCAATTGTTGGAACGTATGTCGAGTTTTCTTTAAATTTTTTATATTGCAGGAGTTGGAAACGCAAGCTCAGGTCGAGCAACTAATGTACAGAATTTCGTGCGAGAAGAGCAAAAAGTCAAGCAATAACTAGAGGCTCGAATCAAATTTCCTTTCAATTGAGTTCAATCAGATAAATCAATTTTTTTTCTTCTTCATAAAAATGTGTATTTTTATAGCTGTTGGAAAAATTACCTTTGAAATTATTTTCCGGAATGAGGAAATTATTATTCAAACTTGGGTATAAACTCCTCAAAATTTATGAGTGCTCCATATTTAGTTGAATAAATAAATGAATAATCAATCTGAATAAATCCGGTCCTTTCTAAATTTTTAGGTACTCTATATGGAGGTTTATCCCCTTGGGAAACGTTATTCGGAAGTTTGAACTACTGAATTTTAATATTTAAAAATGAAAAAGCAATTCGAAGGACTTTCGTTTGAGCCCGAGCTCAGATTACAGTTTTTGAAGTGTTCAATTAAAAATTTTCGAAGTACAGTATTCTGGGTTGTCCAGTGCTTCTGATGAAGGCCTTCTAGAAAATTTCAGTTGTAAATTTAATTTGATCCAAATTTCGTACCTGCACCAAGTTCACTCGAGCTATGAATCAATAGTTTAATGTTTTTTGATCATCTGTGGAAAAATCTTTCCTCCTGAGCTTGCGTTTGCAACCTGTATCGTTTTTTTTTTTTTCAAAAAAAAAAAACATTTTTCGTGAAGGAAACCTGAAGAACGCGTGTCATTTTCCCGGTAGATTTTTCGATTAGGTTTTTATTGTGCAAAAAAATTTACATCGACTGCATGTTGTCGGTTTTGGGCAGAAGAAACATACCGTGCGTGGCGTATTTCCTGGTGTTGACGGCGACTAATAGTGCGCGCACCATGGCGTGGCGGTCCAGCGGCCAGAGCAATGACGAACTGGTGTCGAATCTCAAGAAGAATGGGGTCATTCGGTCGGAGGTGGTCGAGCGGGCCATGCGGGACGTGGACAGGAAACACTACAGTGCTGTGAACCCTTACAACGACTCGCCCCAGAGCATTGGTTACAACGTGACGATCTCTGCGCCTCACATGCATGTAGCTGCCATGGAAGCTCTGAAGGATCATCTCAAGGTGCGAAAGAGTGTTTAATTTTTTCTGTCGTCTCGTGAAGGAAGCTTGTTGGTCGTCTCATGAAAGACTACTTGAAATGCGTGAAAGATCATCTGAAGGTGCGAAAAGATGTTCAATTTCTTGCTTGTCTCGCGAAGTATTTTGTTTAAAACCCCTGAAAGAGCGTCTCAAAGTGCTTTTTTTTGTCTTGAGAAGGATTTTGTTTGAAAGCCTTGAAATATCTTCTCAAGGTGTGGAAAGACATTTAATTTTTGATGAAAGCAGCAAAAAAAAAGATTTTCCTCGAAAGTACGGAAGGATGTTCAAATTTTTGGTTGTCTCGTAAAGGATTTTATTTTAAAAGCTCTGGAAAATCATCACGTGTTGAAGGTTATTCAAATAATGACGGATTGTAAATTTGTTGTTGTCTCATGATGGATTTTGCTTGAAAACCCTTAAGGATCGTCTCAAGGTGCAAAGGGGTGTTCAATTTTTTGGTTGTATCGTGAGGGATTTTGTTTGAAAGCCTTTAAAGAGATTCTCTAGGTGCGGATGGACATTTAATTTGTTGATGCCTTGTGACAGATTTTGCTTGAAAGCCCTGAAAGATCGTCTCAACTTGTGGAAGGACGTATAATTTTTCGTTTTATCATGGAAGATTTTGTTCATAAATCTTGAACTATCTTCTCATGGTGCGGAAGGACATTTTATTTTGTTGTTGTCTCCTGAAATATTTTGATAGAAAGTTCTGAAAGATCTTTTCAAGCTGTGGAAGGACATCTTATTTTTTGTTTTCTCATGGCACGAGAAAAGTAGAAAAATATTATTTATTTATGTTTTGTTATAAATGTCATTGTAACGCTTTTCACGAGATGGCAGCATATTACATCAATGTGTATAATGTTCATCATCATCTGCAGGAAGGAATGAAGGCGTTGGACGTCGGCTGCGGTTCGGGATATCTCGTGTCCTGCTTTGCCAAAATGGTGGGAGAAACTGGACTAGCTGTTGGGATCGACCATCTTCCGGAACTCGTGGCCATGTCCAAGAGAAACATCGAGAAAGGAAATCCGGATTTGCTCCGGGGGAATCGAATCAAACTCATTGTGGGTGATGGAAGGAAGGGCTGGGCAGAAGATGCTCCTTATGACGCCATCCACGTCGGAGCTGCGGCGGAATATCTTCACCAGGAACTGGGTTCGTTCATTTGAAAAAGTTACGAAATGAGGAAGTGAATGAGCAGTAATTTTTTGCTACCTCTTTTTAACGACTAATTTCCTTTATTACGAATTATTTAATTATAACGACATTTTTCGAAGATCCTGGTAGCAGAAACGTCTGAGACACAAGCCGATCACTTTTTTTTTTCAATAGCATATTCAAGAAGCACCAAGAATTTTGGTAGTTTTTCCGTTGCAATTGCAAAGAAGTGTCATCCCAGTTTTTCTCTGCTCTTCAAAGTTGCACATTTTGCAGCATTACCTTCTGCTTTGAGTATTGAACAATGTTATTCAATTAAAATCACAGATCAGTAAGAAATTCGAGTTGATTTTTTTTTTTTATTGGGGAAATGAAGTCTTTTTGTCATGAAACATTTTTTCTGTTTCCTGTTGGCAAACTTTGTTATTGTGCTTGATGTTCTGATGCAGCCGGGAGGAAATTCAATGAATGATCCTAAAAATAATCAATTTTTTTCATTGTAAACTTCCTTATCTATAATTTTGTTAATGGAATTCCTTGAAGGTTTGTTGTAGAAGGATATAATGCCATTAGTTTTGGTTTAAAAAAAATGTTCAGTTTATTCGCAAGGCTTTTGATTATCATTATAACGAATTTTTCCTTATTCAGTAATATTTGTGAAGGTCCCAAAAACCTTTTCTTAACAACAATTTTGGTAACAGAAAAATCCTGAAAACCCTTTTTTTTGTAGACGGAATTGCGAATATCTAAAAATTATTTACTGTATTATGTTTTCCTGATGATATTCATTAGTGGATCAATTGAAACCCGGAGGAAGGTTGATCATCCCTGTGGGAGACAATCGTTTCGGGCAGAACCTGGAGCAAGTGGACAAAGCACTGGACGGGAGTGTGAAAAGGAAGAATTTGATGGGGGTGATGTTTGTGCCGCTGACGGATGCAGATGCTCAATGGAGTCGTACGAAGTGCGATGTTTAAATCTCTATAATGAAAATACATTGCATTTGGTGGTGTTCGAAGCGTGAATGAGCTAGTAGCTTGTCCATTGCTGGAATTTTATCTTCCGTTTATGGTGAATAACGGGCTCTTGACCCTTTTTTGTGTTTCGGAATTTTTTGTGATGTGAAATTAAATGCAGAAGCAATTGCAAGGCTATTAAAAGCAACTTGGATCTTCATTTGTAATTTTTCTTCATTTTTATGATGCAGTCAAAGTGTCAACTTCTCTGACAAACAAGTGAAACCCAGAAGGACCCCAGAATGGTTAAACTCAAGGCGTTTTCAATAAGTTTGGATTCTAAATGCTTTTGGTGGAAGTCTGAGTTGAAAGGCTGTATAATATAATGCAATATGTTCTCAAGGGGATTCAGATGACAAACTTGTGACAAGGAGAGGTTTTTAGTTGGCGGGGGTTTGATTTACCAAGGTCCAGCAGCAGTACCTCATTTCCTATTGCATTATTGGTCAAGTTTCATTGGTACAGCAACTCCTAATCTGTGATACAGCATTTTCAGAGCTTGATGGTGTGCTCAGATTAAATGAAGCAGTTAAAAAAATTAATACAACACGAGTGGAAGACCATTTTAATCCCCCAAAACTATACATTTTTCAAAGGGAATGAACCTTTTGAATTACTGTACTGTACTGGAAAAGCTTTGGGATTCAACCGGCAGGTGGTGCCCGTGTTGTGATGGAGTAGCTCTGTGACATCAAGCAAGTTGAAGTTACCGGTGGAAGTGGCGACGCTCCTGGTGTGTGACATCCGCCAAAATGCGGCGAGCGATTCTCCGCGCCGACGATGAACGAGTGTCGAAAATAAATATCGAAATATGTCAAGTAAGCAACCTTACTATCCTCATTTTAGATTTAATGTTGCGTTGAAACGAAAACATTGCGTCCTGAATTAAAAGTGCAAGCTTTTGGAGCAACAATTTTATGTCTTGTGCGTTGAACGATGCTTGTTACCTTTAATTTCAGATGGAAGTCGATTACGCGATATCCCGAGGAAGCAACTCATCTCATGTTCCTACGGGAGCTAAGTGAAGTGCAATGCTTGGAAATAATGGAGATTGAAGATGTATGAGCAGAGGAACAGTGCGAAGGGAATGAGGCTTCGTAGGAAAGAGTTATTTATTTTCCTCCTGGGAACTGCACTTCTATTTGCTGTTGCAACGTTTCATTATTCCATCGGTACTTTCAAACCTTCCGACTGGTTCTACCATGGATACATTCCACTCTTCCTGGACGGAAATCTTTCATCCCTGAGTTTCCAAACGGTTCCGGATGATGCTGTGTATTTCCTCGAAACCTCAGGGTTGCCGTTTTTGAATCTCAAACAACTGTGTTCCATTGAATCCGCCGCTAAATATCATCCTGAAAAAGTAGTTTTTGTAGCCGTGAAATCAGAGCGGTTTTTATATTCAGACTCAGTGAACGTCCTGAGACAGAATTACAAAAACGTTCGTATTGCTCGCTTGGATCCCGATTCGTGGCTCAATAGTACCGTTTTGTTCTCCTGGATGAAAAATGGGCTTTTGGGCAAGAGTTCTTATAAGACTAGCCACATGAGCGATGTTCTGCGGTATGCTACTCTATACAAGCACGGAGGCATTTATCTGGATCTCGATGCCATCGTTCAGAAATCGCTTGGAAGTTTGAAGAATTCCTTGGCTCTTGAAGGCATTCTCGCTAATGGGGCTGTAATGGTATTCGACAAACATCATCCGTTTTTGCAGGACTGCATGAACGACACCGTTCTCAAGTGAGTTATTCAATCGACATCCGATTCATGAATTTTCAAATATTTTCTATCGATCAGAAAACAAAACAAAGCAATATCAGGGCTTGTTCCACGTAGATAGACAAGTGTTTAGGAAACCTTTCGAATGATGAACCATTCAGAAACTTTCTGGATGATTCGTGAAGCTGACAGGACTTACATTTTCTGTCCCAGGTTTAATGGAGCTGATTGGGGCTCAAATGGCCCGAAGCTTGTTTCACGGGTGCTGAGCAAGTGGTGCAATTCTACATCGTTGTCCCCAGGAATCTGTCAAGGTGTGCATTTATTGCCCAAAACGGCCTTTTACGCCATTCCGTGGGCAGAATGGCAGCATTTCTTCGTGGAAGACGCGGTGGAATCAAATGCTGTCATGGAGATTGTATCTGAAAGTTATGTTGTGCATCTCTGGAATCTGCACACGTCGAAAGTTCCGGTCAAATTGGATTCTTATCAACCTTTCGCGCGCTTGGCTCGGATGCATTGCCCTAGAATATGTGATTATGCGGGACGAACGCTGTGATGAAACACGGACACGCCACGAATTTATTAGCTTAAAAAGAGAGCAATTAAGTAGTTATTTCTTACTTTGGGACATAGCGAATTCGTTTGAGGTATCCAGAGTGATACGACTTCGGATTTGTGCCAAATCACCGATGTAATTTCTAGTCGAGCAGTCCGCAAAGCTTCCCACGCAAAACGCCAAAATTTTGCGCGTCTTCTGAAATTGTTTCTTGCCACATAGATGCTGTAGTGAATGTTTTTCGCCCGGATCAATCACCCTTGAAGTTTGTTGATATCGGAAGGTTGTATAATATAACGTAAGCTTAATGTTGATGAAAAATCAATTGTTTCTTTGCTTGTGACGTTTCTGACTTTGAAACATCTTTTTTTTCTTCAGAAACGATGGGCTTTAATGAAAATTCGTGATATCTAGTGTCAAGTCCGGATGCTACAGGCTGAGGCCACTGCGTGTGATGGACGCGAAAGATGAGAATACGGCGAAGCTGTTGAAGGGGGAATTTGGTGAGTCATCTTTTTTTACTACATTACTACTGTACCACAAAATTCTTGAACAAAATTCCGGTATTCTTTACTGCTATGTACGATTCAAACGTTTTCTTCTAGCGCCTTTTTCAGTCATTTGGGTACGAAGAATGTTCTATAATACGATTCAAACGAAATATGTTGTAGAGCTTTGACTTCATTCGATTTCGCAAAATATGGACGTGTGGCAGGTGTGGGGTACCTTTAAACTCTTACTTTTGCTCTCAGTTTCAACTTTTTTGGGCAGAAATTGGAAAAATGGACGTGGAAAGCTGGTAATGGTTTATGATGATCAATTCGATTTCTATTTATCCAGTAAGATCCGACTGCAGCACTGACTAATCTGAGGTAGAAACTCTGACCGCATTTATGCAAGAAAGATTCCCTAAAGAAGTTATGTACATAAACGTAAAGGACAGGAAATGAAACAGGCAATTCGTTATTCCGCAGATCGAGTCGCCAAGTCTTCGGACGCCGAATCGAAATGGAAGACCGTGATGGCGTTTTGCGACGTTACCATTCGGGAAACAAACGGACCTGTTCACGCTGTGAAGCTTCTTAGTGCGGAAATGCTTTCGGCTAATGAAGAAATTGCCTTGAGGGCGTTGGAAGTTTTGGAAGCTTGTGTTCGTCGCTGCGGACCTCGTTTCCAGGTTACGATTTTTCGATTTATCTTGCTAGGAAGTGTTCGCTTGTTCTTCCAGCTGTCAACGTGATCGAAACGGAGAAATTATCTGAGGTAGTTTTTCACACACAGTGTCACAAGGTTCACGAGTAAAAAAGGACTGAATTTCGAAGCATCATGTCTCCGTAATGGTTGGATCAATAATTTCGAAAAATGTTGAAACTTTAGTTCACCCGGATTGAATATTAAAAGCGCTAATAATAATACACAACACTGTTGTAATAATTTGCCACCTTGAAACTTTTGAGAGCTAGTTTATGGCGAAGGATCTGTGCAGAATTTACAGCGTTGAATGTACTACGAACGAATTGAAGTAATTTCTTTGATACGTGAGAACCTACTAGACGAGTGACGGCATTACTTGAAATAAAGCCCATTCTAGCTTTCATGAGATAACCTCGAGGAATTTCGTTTTGCCAAGGCATATCTCCCGTAGGAGAAACTTGCTCCAAGATTTCTGTTGTTCAGGTTTTACGAAGGCCATCTTTTATTTTTTTGTTTTTGGAATTTCAGGCGGAAGTTGGAAAGTTTCGATTCCTCAACGAGATTGTGAAACTTGTGAGTCCGCGTTACCTTGGAAAGCGAACCACGGAACGAGTGAAGAGCAAATCGATTGAGTTGCTTTACGTCTGGACGCAATTGCTTCCGCATGAACCTAAAATCAAGGAAGCTTACGAAATGCTGAAGGATCAAAAACTGATCGACGTGAGTCGAGTTCATGCGAGTGGATAAAATGAGCCGATACGATGCACTCGGTTTATGCATCCGAAAACACAACTTAGTTTGTCATAATATAGCCCTTTTTAATAAAATTAAGAAACCTGGAATCCCAAGAAATGGAGTTAAATGGCATCGATTAGAGTTTAAGGTCCGATGAGACCAAGAAGGTCTCGCAGTGAGTTGCGATACCTTGAGATCAATAAGAGAGGTTATTTAAATTTCATTAAGCCATACTTGCTAGTCAACGTGTTGAATGAGTTTCGCCGATCACTTATAGGCCGCGGTTTAGTTTTCAGGTGTGCATTTGGGAACTGTGAGTTTGGTTTTGGTAATACTGTATGGTTACGCCGTGGAGTGCCTTCCTTTAATACTGAAGTTATACATTATTTTAGGGTGACCCCGATGTGCCATTGTGCACCGATGTTGGACTTGGAAGTGAGAAGGATGTGGATGAGAAGATGACCTCCGGGTCGCATCCTTCTGACGATATATTCAAGAACGACGAGCGATCACAGCGATTGAAGAAGTTGCTGCAAAGTCGTAATGCCCACGATTTGCAGGAAGCAAATAAGCTTATAAAGAAAATCGTCTCCGAGGTGAATTAAGTCGTATTTCTGAATAATAGGGATCCTAGTTGAAGTTGGAGCAATTCCGGTTTTGATTGCTTAGGACTGTAAGCTATGCATTACGTTCGTTATATCGGCGAGAAAACCGTTCTCAACTCAGCGGTCCCATGTGGTCTAGTGGCTAGGATATCTGGCTTTCACCCAGAAGGCCCGGGTTCAATTCCCGGCATGGGAAATATCTTTTGTCTCGTTTCATTCTGCGTCGCTTTAGCTCTTATTTGTAGAATGTATTCTACTGCACCACCATTCCCGATCTGCTCATATTGTGTTTAAATTTTTCGTCATTCAAACTTAACTCGAAGTTATGTAGTTCCATTTTTGATAATTCATTAAGTTTCCCTGAAACTTGCAACATGGGCATTTCCAGTGTGCGGGGCGAAATCTGGTGCCTTTTTGTATTCTTTTCGTTTTTCTGCCAATTATAGGTGCGCCATGTCGATATTTAAATTTGATAAAATGCATTAGATTGATTTTGTGAATTGAACTGTTATCCTATTTCCTGAGAAATAAAAAGAATCGGTGAGTCTTAAACAAATGCTTACTATTACGTCTAACAGCAAGTTTGTTACCGACCTCGAACTCTGGATAACTATTTCTATCCTGGAATTTTTATGTTTGTCTTCCGCGTACTTTGCGGGCCATAAGGATTTTTAGAAGTTAAATAAGTTGGTACCAGGATCTCAACTGAGAGGCAACAGGCAGATATATTTCAGTGCACAACAGTCAGCGAGTAAGCCAGGACACGAATGCTGACGATTGAGGTCAAGCAAGCCAGTTTAAAGAACGCGATGGAAAGGAAAGGCTGCAGGCTGTTCAGCTAGCTGGCCTCCAAACCAAAACGCGCGTGCCCTTTCCCGAATCATGCAAGCGTTTCCTCATCACCAGATCGGGCTGGTGATGTATGAGAGAAAAAGAAAAGAGAGAAGCTCGGGCTAGAGAGCCAACAAGGGCTTCATAAAAATATTGGATCACAATACATACATTATTTATTTGTTGGTTTGCACAGCGAATAGACAAATAACATAATAGTTTCGATTTGAATCTACTTTTCAAGATGAATAAAGCAGTAATACTGTACAGGGATACAGTTTGCATGTATACAGTACCATAGTGAAACTTACACACAACTACAGTAATACAATTATTTTTGCCAATACAGTATACAGTATAGAGGCTTCAAGCCTGAATAAAAATGCCTTAAAATACAGGGATACAGTTTGCATGTATACAGTACCATAGTGAAACTTACACACAACTACAGTAATACAATTATTTTTGCCAATACAGTATACAGTATAGAGGCTTCAAGCCTGAATAAAAATGCCTTAAAATATAAGAAGTAGAAATGCAATTTTTGTTTCTCATCCAGGGAAGGACACAGCTCAATCATAGACGAGATTGAGGCTCAACTGGGGAACCAAGGCCCTCCTTCATGCATCGTCATTGCAGTAGGAGGTGGCGGGATGCTGCTTGGGGCACTCAAGGGCCTGGAACGCAAGGGTTGGCATGACACGAAAATACTCGTCATGGAAACAATAGGCGCAGATTGTTACAATCTGAGCGTGAAAGCCGGCAAACTAGTAGCAATTCCTGATATAACCAGGTTAGGTTCTTATTGTCAACCCACGGATTCCTTCGTTTTGTTTACTCAAGTAGCGTGGAAGTAAAGAAGAGTGAACTTTTCTTCTGGAACCAACAGTGTTGCCAGATGCCTCGGTGCTCTGAAGCCAGCGGACGAGTTGGAGCAGTACCTGGGGAGTGACATGGTACTTTCAGAGGTCGTCAGCGACAATGAAGCCCTCCGAGCACTCATAACCTTTGCAGGTGAGCAGGAATAACATTTTCTCGGGAACGTATTGAGCCAATTAACACTTACTGAACACTTCGGAGCACCAGCATACATAATTCTACTGCATTTTCATCTGTTACGATTATGAAGCTACCGTACCACTTCTAGGAACAGAAATTTCAAATAGAGATTTATTGAATTAATTGAATAACGCTACGGTTGCCGCAGGCGGAGATAATTTACCGGTAACAGTCGCAACCCCTCATTAACGCCTAATTATTGCTGAGGTACACGTCCACACAAAGCATCTAACCCTAGGGTAATCTGATTCCTTTTATAATACAACCCATTCCCTGAATTCTTGTATCATGTAGGCCTCAGATAGTGGAACTGGAAGTTGCGATTTCCCAAGTTCTCACAAGGTTTAATCACAAATCATCCCACAAGTTCATCATCGGCTGCAGTCTATTTCCCAATAGGGTAGTATGTACCTCTACTGGATGACTTGTCGATTTCAATGTCAATTTTTACTCCAGTTCGACTAACGCGAAACAAAAGCGTCCGGGAGGGTCGCTCCGGGGTAGCAAACTGCATCGCCCCGTAAGATATTGATGTTTTTCACCTTGGTCTACTCCACCAGAATACTTGTTCAACAGGTTCAATGCTCGGATTAGTGGGATGCATGATTATTCCGCGAGTATAATGAATATTTGCTAATGAACATGTATGCAGAATTCAAGCGACACCTACCGATTTTAACCAGAAAACTCGCTCTTTCACCAGAAGAATGCGCTGCATGCTCACTGCCCAAAAATAAGTCATGACCTTTCGCGGCATCCTTTAGAAATTTGTACAGCATCCAAAACTGTTAGACAACAAGTTGAGGCTTGCACGCAAATTCGACCAGATGATTTTTTTTCTGATCATAGTTTCTTTCTCCCGGTAACATATACTGCTGTACTGACACACTCTCCAGCAGCTATACATGTACATAGGCAAATATAATCAGCAGCAGTTATTAGTCATTCACCCAAGCATTTTCTTTAAGTTCCTTCAGTCTAGAATAAGCTCCGAATGTCAGGGAGTTAATTGAGATTTTAAATCCATCCCACACGCATGAGTTCCTCGTAATACGCGTAAATTTATTTAGGACAGCCAAACAGTTAAAATCCAGCAGTATACTGTATAATTGATGGGGTTTTTAGTTTTTTCCATTCAATTCCTTCTCAATCCACAGCACGAATATTTTCGCATTTTTTAATATAGTATATAAACGAATAAACATTCTTGATAGAACATTACTGTATTTACAGTACAGTATTCGTACAAGATTCATTCAGTAAATGTCCATTATAATAATGGCTTCGCTGAGGTGAGGATATCTTACTGCTCATCAGTACTAAAGGTACTTCATGTAAAGGTGGACTCTGGTACAACGCATTTTTATGGTCCCTTGGATTTTTTTTAGAGAATCCACCTTTATAAACTTCTCATATATTCATCATGCATTATCTGCACTGCTTATAGGAACTCAAGTACCCATATGCAAGGGTTTGCTCATTATTGTCATACAGTAACTCACCATAAATACTTACATTCTGTCCTGATAGAAAGAAACGGCGACAAAATTAGATTTGTTTCAATATATAGGACCACTTCAAGACAATGTCCCCACAACCAGCACGCAATAAGACTTAAGATATACAAGAAATGGAATGAAAATTCCTCACACTTCGGCAGAAATTTCAAATTAAAGGTCTGCTATTGTGCATATTGTACAGATGATCAGCGATGTCTGACGGAAGCTGCTTGCGGAGCAGCACTCGCGGCCCTCTACTCCGGAATCCTCAACAAGTACATCGAAAGCGGGAAAATCTCAGCCGAGAAACCGATAGTGATTCACGTTTGCGGCGGAAACTTGATTTCAGGAGCAATAATGGCGGAATACAAAGCTCGTCTCGCAGCTGATGCTGAAGGAAACTGATACGATTCGCGTCCATCTCGGAATAATCAAGTCGACACACGGAAAAACATGAACTGACCAGAAACAGCTGAATATCGCGACGATGACCGCGGGGAGTGTTTCAAAAAGATTTTTATTCCGTGCATCAAGGATCAATAAAAGAAAGAATGGAAACAAATCAATGAGCATCATCGTCAACGCTTTAATGCGTCGTCGTCAATAACAGGCCTTGGTACAATTTCAGACGTTGCATCCACCGGGACCAGAATAATTCGCAAAGGGGTCGGCTCAGAACGTGAACATCTGCGGGCTTCCCAGTATCATATGCAACCACCACCACGCCATGGTCCAGCTAAAATAAATGAAAATTAAAATTTAATTTCAAGAATCAAGATAATCACAGACATCGTCATGATCTTCTTTACATATGCGGCTTGTTATTCTCACACATACAGCATATCCTTTCTCAAATGAAAGAAAATAGCGCCTACAAAAATTCAATAATCTCGAAATGATGAACACCAGACTCAGCAGGAATGAGATTCTTTCACGCCCTGAAACAAAATTGAAAGCAATTTAAAGAAGTTTCATTAACCTGTTGATCCAGCGTTCTCGTAGCGTTCAATGCACCGATGTAAGCAGACAGTTGAACGGGTCCATCATAAAGTTGCCCAATAGTTTGTCGTGTCCTTCCAGAAGTCTTCCAATCAATCACAACCGGAGTTCCTCTACCAAACAGAAAAGAATAGCAAAATTAGACGCTAATGCAATTAGTGACAACTTGATTCGGCTATTCTAATCCTGTCATTATCGCGAAGGTATTATGATTCTCGGGCATATATTATTTTTAGTTTCTCTCGACCTCGGATTTTAATCATCCGTATTAGCCCAATCACGAAATAAATCCTTTGGAAGAGAAACAGTGAACTTTCTTTCGAAAAAAAGGCTCTCGGAAATCAAATATCGTCAAGACAAAATCAGGATAATTTTAAAACATGAAAGAAACCCGAAATAACTCGGACTCGTGCGTACTTGAACACTGCTACGCAATCTGGGATTCCCCAATAGCCCAAGACCGGATGACAAATCGGCTTCTCCGTAAGATCGAGATCCACTTTCTTCACAGAAGTGAAAACGCTTCTCAAACTCTTCACGTAGTTTTGAATTCGCTCCTCAGGTACCAAACTTGACTCTCCTCCAGACAAGCGCTTCAAAATAAAGCTATGAAGCTCCTTCCCGCGGGCCAAAATTTCTGAAAAACGAAGCAGATCGAAATCAAAAAGTAGAAACAGATATTTTGATCATCTATTCTAGGTTTTCTTTCAAATTCCTGCGTCTTACCAGACACCATACACATAACTATCCAAAAATCTCGGCGTTGAACAGTAAAATCGGGTAACAACGAAGCCTCTATATAGAATTCGGAAACAAATATTTGAAAATTCCTCACACAGGTTATCTCAACTTCTCATTATCGAATAATCCTAAGTTTCGAATTACTGCACTAGAGTCTACTATAAAGAGAGATGCACGAACTCTCCGAAGCTGAATCACATAGAATATTCCGAGCATCTTATGCACATCGGAAAATCCGTCTACAGTATTTCAAGCTCTTCAATCATTGAAAAAATCTAAATCAACGTCACACTCGGGAAGATTCATTCGCTCGCTCTTGAATGCGCGAAAAAAGACGTGTGCAAATTGTGTCGAGGCAAACCTTGTTGCATTCGGGCAAATCCGTCTTCTCCCAGCTCCGCAATCATCCTCTGCTTCCAGGCATCCAACGCAGCCCGTGACTCCGGGGACATGGTAGCCGACAACACCTTCGTCACACTCGGCAAGGACTTGACCTTACTAGAAACTACGTCCTTGAACCCATCCACTGAATCCGAGGCTCGCTTCAGTTCAAGATCCCACACCAAGGGCATCTTCACGCGTCCAGTCGTCACTTCCGTGGGCATTCTGCCTTCCGACACACACGTGGAACACTCGGTCAAGGCGGCGACTAGGCTGAGATCCGGTTTCGGTTCTGCTTTGGCTGGCTTCTTCCGTTTCTGCAATTTGCCGAAAAGCAACGCGTTTTCCGTGTGATAACGGATCAAGGCATCTTTGCTGCTTTTCTTGGGCACGACGCGGACGATTTTACGCGGGATCGGCTTCGTGGAACACAACCGGACGGATAAACTACGTACCAGGAACTCCATTCTAAATATACTCTTCAACATGAATTAAATCCTCACGAATACCCAAAGAAACGATACAGTAATATTTAAACACGCGAGGCTTCTTGGGGGTTAAAATTCGCGAAGAGCAGATCGTTGTTCTTTCTCGTTCAAGCTTCCTCTCAGTGCTGATGCTGGATCTTTTCCAAACCATACGCTTAAAAGGATTAAACGTTGGGATCCTCTTCATAAGGATGTAGTCTAAAAATGCCTAAGGAAAATTGAAAAATCAGTCACCTGTTTAGGTATATGTTACCATAATGAATACCAGGGCATCGCAAAATGAAGAAACTCAAGACGGGTTCTGAGCAACGTTACGAAGTAAGCACAAAAAACGTTTTCAGACTAGAATCCCGAAGAGAAAGAGAAGGAGCCAACACTGATAAGACATAACATTCATTTCAGTTTCAGAGCAAGATATCCGAGTTCTCCTCCTGCACGAAAATACGGACACAAAAATCGTTTTCTCATCCTTCACATGAGCTGAATCGATTCCGGGCAGCAAGAAAAACAAAAATATGCGAGGCAACTTTCCATGGTGCTTCTCCTATGATGCGACAACTTGTGCAATGGACAAAAAAGGAACACCAAGAAAGAAGCAGTAGATAGATCATTACAACAACACCACCGAACCGAAAAATAACCTCCGCGCACCTTTTCCAGCTCATGTGAATTCACCATGATTCAATTCCTTTTTCAACCTCACCAAACACAGTTCTGTCTTCACGGAATCAGACATTTCTTTGAAAAACAGTTTCGAAAACATGAGCCTCGAAAAACTAGTTTCTATAGAAAATGGTACGAAATTTACTGCCGTTTTCAATGGAACGATTCCTAAAAATTGCTCGTATTTTCATTGCACTCGATACAGATCCATATCCTCTTTTCTGGTGATTGGAATCCTGCCAACCGAAAACTGACGACTGAAAAGCAAATAAAAAATTTACAAAATACAGTATGTCAAATGATTCACGCTAGGAAAAAAAAACTGTTCTTCAGAGAAATGTCCAATATTCTACGGTTTCAGCACCCGGTTCACAGATATCTTGGGCACTTTGGCCAGGCCTTGAAAATCCACTACTGTATAAGACACCAAGCCATGGTAACGATCAATCTCACTGGGGGACTTCGCCGATGAGCAAAAGATGAAGAACAAGATTCAAACGAACCACGGGAGACGCTTTTTGCAGGCTTCATTGTTGAAAAAAATAAAAGAAATGCAATCAAACAAAAGAAAAAAAAGCTTACGCAAAAAACTAATCGCTTAGACCTTCCTTTTTGAGCGCTAAATTGCAAAATAAATGTCTGGCAGAAGCAAAAAATTACAGGGCTCATAAAAAGCACACCGACTAAAAAGATCGCAGGACAAACTTCACAACTCTCGGGTGTCTTTGGATCTCCTTTCGATAATTCAAAACATTCCCGCAATTCCATTCGGTCGTGGGCGATACAAATTCCTCTTCACTTTTTTTTTTCCAATCATAATCCTCGATCAAACATCACGTTTCACTTGACCCTGAGACGCCAAAAAGGATATTTTTCTTTTCCTTCATTCCTCTGTCTTCATCAACACACTCTTCAGAAAATTCAGCAGCTAAAAACGACTCCTACCGAGAGAATACTTTTCCAGCGTGCGTAAACAGATAAAGCTCAACAACCTCGAGCGGCAAGCATCGACAGTCTTCACACCAACACTGGGGAGCAGAGCAAAAAAAGGGGAATAAAGCATACACCGAAGCGGAAAAAATAAAATGGGGGACACTATTTTTGAAATGGCGGAACCGGAATAAAGCCTCTGTTCACTTCTGTTTCCCCGAGCACCGCGTTTCAGACTCCGGCTGCAGCCGAGTCGTCCTGAGTGCCAATGGCCACGTAGGATCCGTTGCTGGAGCTCTTGGTGTGCGTTGAACCGCCGTTTTCGTACGCCTTTCCGTCTTCGGGGACGGTGTCCGTGACGCCCGTGACTCCGAGGTCCGTCGACGACTTGACCGACACCCATTGCCGCACTTTCATGGTGCACCAGACCATCGTGAGAGGAATGGGCATCGCCGTCGCGGCCATTATGGGAATGACTGCACAGCGGAATAAAAAAGACGAATCAACCATTAATTTCGAATAATATACAATACTGTTCGAGCAGAACTCATACAATTTTAACTCTTACAATTTTTTAATTCTCAACAATCTTCGTTCACTTCCACGCTTCACAAAATATCGTCTAGACTTGGTATCAGAAGAAAAGACTTTCTTTTTTTGTTGCCTACAGACAATAACTAAGGTACTAAACTTAGAAGCAAACGAAGACCAAATGACACAGATAACAATACAAAATACATGGAAATGCGTAATAATGGGCAAAGTGAATATTCTACTTGTAACACACCCGACTGACCAATTCAAAAATTTGCGGAATTTATAATGAATCACGCAAAATACAAATATAGTGCAGTAAAATATCACTACAAATATTTACCTGACAAAAATTCGTCACATAAAAAATTAATAGGTTTAAAAATATTTATTTCTGAAATTTCGTGGCAAATGGGTAATAAACATTGTGAAGTGCTTCTGCAACATGTATATTGAAGAGATCGTGATTTCTAACGATTTTCAGGGACATATTCGGAAAGAAAAATTTTTTCAAATAAACTCCTCCCATTTTTGACCTGGCTTCCTTCAAATTTCCTAACGCTGTACTAAAATATGCTAACCTTGAAAAAAAAAAAATGATACGAAAGAAAGGTAGTCTAAGAAGTACCGTATCTTCTTCCAAAGTTATTTACTCAGGCCAGCCATTTTTCGTTTCAATAAGAGGTACATTATTTTTGAAATACTGTACTGTTTATTTAAAAATGAACCAACGCAAAATTTTAAAATAAGCCTTTATAAATTCTAGAAGAAAAACATCACGCTGTGTGTTTTTTGAAAAACTTCACATAATCTTTTTCAAAAAAAGCAATGATTTTTGATGACGCTTAAAATTTTACAATCTTACTTTGCATGATGAAATAATCCTTGCGGCCATTAGTAAAAGCAGGACAAACAATTTTTTCATGAGATTTCTGCTATAAATTAGTTTGTTAAAACTGTATTACAGTACAGTATTTAGTCATTGTTCCTATGGAGAAACGCTGGGACCACCAAAAAATCATTCCCAATGCAATTTTGTTGTAGTAATCAATGTTATTTTCCAAGGACTTCCGTTTGACAAGCTTATAAATAAGATAACTGAAGAACTCCCAGTGGACGACGGGGCAAAATACTGTACTGTACTTTGAATCAAGGAAAGTTTCCGATGCTCACGCGCATAAAAGATGTATACATCCTCGACGCTTGAAAGATTTTTAAAATATTATATCAATTCTGATTTTTTAAATGCTGAACTCAATGCCGTTTTCCAGGTACGAAATGCTCACCAAACGTCATGTCAGCATCGGGCTGAGGAAGGGACAACTTCAGCAGCAGAATGGCAACCCCAGTATTCTGGATACCGGTTTCAATGGAAATGGCAATGATATCTTCCGTGGAAAATCCCAAAAAGCGGGCGACGCAATACCCAAACGCGAATCCAAACCAGATCAAGCACACCGACGACAGAATCACCTTAAAAATAAAAAATGCATCAGTCTACCAACATAAAAACTATACCTTTCTCGGAAAACCATTAAAATGAATTTTTTCAATAATTTTGATTTGAAAAAAAAAGCGCACTCACGTCCAAAGTTATCAAGTAGAACACGTAGACATTCGCGTAAATTCCGAACGTGAAAATATAGACGATGAGAAGCAGGGAAAATGGCCTCGTGAGCTTCACTAGACCGTCCGCCAATCCTGGACACTTTTTCCTGATAGCCACGCCAATCGACACCGGCACTAGCAATGCCACTATCATATAAATGATGTTCTTGTACGGTATAATCAGCTTGGCACGGTTGAAAATCACGCGACCCAGTGAGAAGATCCACGCAGGCATCAATGCTGCACAAAATAAGAAATAATAGCATCTGCATTAATGAAAGCAAACTTTGAAAGCGTAAATCGATCGATTCCTTCTCACAAATACGCCTCCTTTTTTACCGATCGAATCTATCACAAGACTAACCAAAAACCTGAAGAATCTTGTTAAAGAATTGATCTAAACTACTCTAACCTTCTCAATTACGTTGAATCTACTTCAAGAAATGAAGCAAATTGAAAAACATTAGTACGACTTCAAAGGAGAAAAACTCACCCAAAGCAAGCACAGTAGAAACGAAGGTCAGAGTTATGCTTAAATTCAGGTTCCCGTTGAGAAGAACCGTCCAAATATTCGATGCTCCGCCGCCAGGCGAACATCCAGTGACAAACAATCCAAGTTGCAGAGAAGGAGACGAAGTCAGGAAGAGTTGCGACAACCCGAACGCCAGCTGCACAGGAAATGAATCTCACTAACATTGAACATCCAAGGACAGGGATGAAAGTAAACTTACCAAAGGCATGCACAAGTATTGGCAGGATATCCCAACAGCGGGACCCACGGGGCGACGAATGGTGTCCCAAACGACCTTCAAGTCCAACGAACAACCCATGTTGATGTACGCCAGAGACACCAATGTCACAACCGAGTACAAAAAAATCTTGTCCAGAACGGTATCTCGTCGGATGACTGAGATCTCGAGGATATCACCGAAAGAATCATCCTTGAGCCCCACCGGGGAGACGCGGACGAATGTTCTCCCAAGAAATTTCGCGTTGACGGTGAAAGAAAAGTTCTTGTCGCTCGCACGATTAAGATACACCGTGTCCACCGAGCTCACGTCCGCTATTTGTAAGTTGTCCACTTCGGGTTGTAGCAAGACGGGAGCAAGCATTTCGGACGCATTCCAGTGTTTCGGTATAGTCCAGGACACAACCTGCGACGTTCCTTCCACGAGTTTATCAATGCGTTCCGGATAAAATTGGACAGTGCGAGACGGTTCCGGTTTCGACGCTGATATGGACTGCGCAGACGAACATATCAGCCAGATAGGCAAGAGTACGAACGCGTACATCAAAATGAAATGCACCGGATACAGCGGACACATCACGACTCTTCGTTCCTATTCTTCGACAGCACAACCTCGTAACCTTCGGCGCACGTGAAAATGAGTCCAGAAATCATTCCAAGATCCACCAGTCATGCTTCGCCGAATAAAAAATGCAGCCATGATAGCGTTCCATCCGAATCATCAGAACAAACTTCACAGTTCGCGATGCAAGAACTCAATGATAATTTCAATAAAGGAGGAGTTAACGGGAATTTTTGATTAAATCCCTGTAACTCAGAGTAAACCGCCGAAGAAAAGCAAGGACGACGATCAGAGCGCAAAGTAACGAAGAGACATTCAGAAATTCTTTCTTTTTGGAATTTTCACGCAATGCACCACAATGAAATTAGACATCACCACATCATTCACCACAGGCAGAGTCAAGAATACTGAGCTAATCTCTTGAGCAAGAAAATACAATCCGATACACAATTCAACAACGTTCAAGGTTACTCGTTAACTTCAAATAAGTAAAAGAAAGCACACATTCCAAAGGATAATTAAACCTTGAGAAACAGCTGGGAGGAGGATCGCGAAACCACGTGCGTCCATGCACTTACGGCGCATCCACGCTAAGACCACAGTGTTCGTCACAGAGCCGCTTTCTCATCACTCAAGATGAAGTTTTTAACACTTGGTAGTCCGCATATTTTTTTTTTAATAAATAAATGCCAAATCCTGCATATTCTGATTTAATCCAGAAGACGATACAACCGCCTAAGAAAGTTGTATGGATTATAACTTTAAATGTATGGACTCAAACGAGAGAAGGAAAATATAGTTCAGGTGGTCAGTGGGGCGTGAAAGAAAGGGAAACTATACATACAGGGTGGACTATAACAATGAAGCAGCAGCATTGAGCATTGGGCGGAACGAGCAACAAACAGTATTAAATTTTTAATTTCTTTCAACAATATTAAAAGTGATTTATGGTAGGATCCCCCTTGATCAATAAAGGCAAATTAAAAATATTGTACCTGCGCACAAAAGAAAAGCTTTTATTTGCTCTCGATCTGAGGCTTGTAATTGAATTCTGCCAGTAATTTTAATCCCAAAATTTAAGAATCTCTTCTATCGAAAATCGATGATGTTGGGCAGTGATTTTCAAAAAATGTAAAAAGAAGAAAAGTATAGAAAAGTCTTGGCTATCTTTCTGCAAGATATGTCAATCAACAATAAGTGGCCATTTTGCTTCTTTATGCATAAGCTATAGGATAGTTGTCAAAAAATTCAAAAATAACTTTACCAACTTATTTGAATGTATTACATTTTCACAATTCAACATTTTCCGCAATGATACACTCTATGATAAGCATTCAAAATGATATCAAGTTTTGAATTTTGGCCTGCCATTTTTGCTTGCCCTATACCTTGCTCATGCATGTGATTGATCAGGGCAGAGAAACTACACTAGACTAGGCAGCTTCCGACAGGAAAAAAGCACTGCAGTATAGAAAGTTTCCCCTCTCAGCAACTTCATTCACGCTCCACTGCGTCCCTCCATCTCAGTCACCCCCAATAACTATTGTATATACAGTATATATACAGGGTGACCCATCATACTTCAGACCAGTTTTTATTCAACGGCTCACGCAATACAATTTCAAAAAGAAAGATCATTCTAATTAAATGTTTTTCAATTTTGAAAAAGTTTTCATTTTAATGAAGTAATATTCAAGATCAAACATACGTACTATACTTTGTTCAGTACTTCAATCTTCTTTGGTCAATTTTAAAAATTAAAAAAGATAATTTAAAATTTTCAAACTTACTTTTGAGATTGAATTCCGTTTTGCTGGAATAACATTCATTTTTTACAACTGTACTGTACTTGAATCTTCTTTAGTCATTTTTTAATTTGACAAAAAAAACTAGAAATTGCAATGACCAAACCTACTTGGAGGTTGGATTCGATTTGGCTGGAATAACAATAATTTTAGCAATAACATAGAAAAAGTCGTACGTACTTTAACTTTTACAAGAGTATAGTTTTAGTCGAAAGGTCGTGGGTAGTATCCGTAACCTCTATGACATTGAACTGTCCTTCTTCTTCACAAGAGTTTCCGTTACAAGACTTATACTGTATACAGAAAAGAGAACTATTTACATCAATTGAATTGCTCTTCAAGCTTATGAGCATGCAGTAAATTTTCTTCTAATCTTGAGCATTTTTAGGAACATTTTACTTAAAAAATAAATGTTCTGCGATTTTGTCACCCTGCTCTAATCCATACAGCCACATAACAGAATAAGCAGGCCTGGTAGAGAATCTGATGAAGCCTTTTCCTTTTCAATATTAATGATAAGCATATAAATGATATAGAGATATTGGGTCAGATTTCTAAAAGTTTCACATGTTTCCCAAGTTGAATTGTCTGTACTGCATGTTTTGGGGTGTCCATATTATGGGGTCACAATTTATTCATTTTCCCTTTTACCTTAATTTTTTGTGGTACTGTACTGTAGTGGTACTGTGCAGGTATTGTACATTGAAAGTTGCCCCTAATCCATTGTCAGACTAGGTTCAAATTGCAATTAAGCAGTTGAATTGCAGGACACGTTGTAAAATTGAGAAATATCAGCACAAAAATGCAAAAAAAGTGGTAAAAGCAGGTCAAATGTCAGAGGGCAGAGGTAAAATTGAAAGTCAGCCTTCATCTTGCAAATTCAACCATCAAATTGCCAGGTCCCACCTGTACTCTCCAATTTATTCTTGGTAGAGGATGAGTGCAGCATGTATGGCTTTACTCAGTTATCCTTGTTCCCTAATTTGTCATTAAAGTTAATTTTAAAAGTTTAAAAAACTAATTTGAAGTCACAAGGTATATAGTATATGCATGTTTCAAGAAATGACCAAAGACTTGCGGGTGTCAGATTTCTGTGAGTATAAAGGGCGCCACAATAAAGGGGATATGCTTAATCCAGCACAAAAGGCGAAATTATTTTTTGAAGGCCACCCTTTACACAGAACTTGTCCCCAATAATACCAAGAAAATAAATGTACATGGCGTGCGTGAGAATTCGATCCGCCCAAAAATCCTGGGAATTCCCCACCATCAATGGGAGGTTTTTGTGCGCACATATAATCACTCATAATTCCAACGAACTGAGAAATGAATAATCCGAATGGAATTCAAAATGACCTGGATCAAATCACCGGATTCTTGGGTTTCCAATATATATAACACATCGAATGTACAGTATTTGACAAGCTGCCCTCTGTCTCTTTTCTCTCCGCTCGTCTGCTGCTGACGATGGCACGCGAGGCAGAGATATTATACCTTCTTTTTTATTTTCTGTGTGTCACGAAAGCATTACGCAGATTGACAATTTTTTTCTCTCTTTATTAGAATAAATTACATTCGATGTACATTAATACTTGGATTATCAAAATCCTCGCGTGATGAGATATTCCCGTGCTGTGGATGAAATCATCATCAATGAATATTCGATTCCACTGCAGCAGGCACTTCTATTTTTTTTTTTTTTTTTTTTTGCGTGCACACCTGCAGCAAGAATTCTTCTATACTGCCTGCTGGAATGTGTCACTGTATATAATGTCCGAATTATTCCACAAAATATGCGAAATTTCCGAAAAATGAATGAGAAATGAATTTGAATAAAGCACTTGCAGCACCCCGCTGAGATGCCAGGCTAAAAATAAATGGACGTGATTCACGCCATTTTACAAAAGCTTTATGTATATTTTGCTGACGTTGCAAAACGTTATTCGTTGCTGAATAAGCGATCCAGCTACTCATGGAAAATGCGACTGAAAAGAGTCGCAGGTTTTGTGTTATTCAGCAAAGGCAAATTTTTATGCTGCATACACAAGCAGAACACCATTGTATTGGTTCAGAAGTGTGGTTAGCACAATTGCATGGGTTTTTCATTTTAGGCCCAACTTTCCCATTTTGACACAACTATATACAATATAAAGTTCCTGCTGAGATCAGAATACTCTGCAGGGATTTTATTCAAATACCATATTTACTCAAGTACCACGGGCACCTTTTTTCCCAACTTTCAAAAGAAAAAAAGGGGTGCGCGTCATAAGCGGGTACAAATTTTTCAATAAGTTTTAGGAAGTTATGTGTGCATTATACTTGATTATAATGGAGAAATTTTGAACAAATATAACAAAAAAACATTTTTGTATTGAAAAAGTTGAAAAAGAAAACATTTTTGTATTGAAAAAGTTGAAAATTGATCAGATTTTTGTTCAATTCATGCCTAAAGTCAAATTTTTTGTTTTTATTTTTGAAATTTGATGGTTTTAGATTCACTAAAAATTGGGGTGCGTGTGTCTTACTTGGGGATACAATTTTTGCAAAATTTTCAACTGAAGAACCCCTGTGCGTGCCTTACTTGAGGACGCATGGTACTTGAGTGAATGCTGGTTGCAACTCTCGCAAGATCAGATAAATTTTAGGCAAAGCGCAAAGGTCACAGCAGGCTTAGCATTTAAAGTGAAAGGATTTTAAAGGAGGTTTTAACCCTTGTGCAGCAAAGTTGGGATATTTTTGCAAAATGTTGTGCAACTGGGCACTGGGAATAAAAAAAAAACCTACTTTCTTGCCAAGGGCTAAGTTGGGGAAAAGTCCAACGTTTTTTTCTAATCCTGCAGAAAATTGTCAATGAAAATAAAAAAATCCCTCACTGGGTGGCATTTTTCCTGCATTCCTGGCATAGGATTTGCATGGGAAAATCTTGCAAACAAAAGAAAATTTGCCTCCCAGATTTTTCCCAACGTAGGCCTCCTCAACCTGGGCGCATTTCAGTAACCTTGGGTCAAACCTAAATGCATCCCCCTCCCCCAGAAAATCCCAACTCATCTGCTGGGCACTGAGAAAGAACCCTCCACTGTCCAAGGGTTAAAATGGTTTAGCAATAACAGCAAATACAGTTTAACCTCTGTAAATCAAATTTAAAGGGACCTGAAAAATTGAACTTAGGGAGGTTTGAAGATGTGGAGGTTTTTAGGTAGGAAAACAAGCATTTTTGATTTGGGAGGGATGAACAAATTTCCAGAAATTGTAATTGATAATATTCTGGGCCTTAAATATTTCTTCTTTTAAATGAGTTGACAAGATGAGGAACTTGGATGCATAAAGGGCTCATTTGCCTGATTAGTCTTTCACTTCCTTTCAATGCACATCAAGTTTGATTTTTTAATAATGTTCTCTTTCCTGTGTGAAGAAAATAATGACCAAAATGCCTCAGAAAATTTAAGTTAGGGAGGTTCCAGAGGAAAAGCACTTGAATTAGAGAGGGTTTCAATACACTGTTCATTCTAAGGCAATTCAGACAGTGGTGTGAAAAATAAATTGAATTAGGGAGATATTTGCCTTACAGAGGTTTGACTCATCAGGGCTAAACTGTACTGTTTGTTTTAAAATAATATGTTGTACAGCAGAATAACTACTGGAAAATACTTTATCAGAATACAGCCCAAGGTTTTTGTTTCAGATGAGTAAAATACAACTTCAACAAAAGTCAGTATTGTGATGCCTTGGAAAATTAACAAAACACAACATCATCAGGAAAATAGATCAATTATGAAAATTTTAAATTGCCTCAAGGAATAATACTGTAACAGCTCATCCCCCCCCCCCCCAGCAAGGCAGAAACTCTCAATTTAAACATGGGAAGCCAGGCACGGTCATACCTTAAGGTTTCTCATAGAATGAGTTATTGAAACTCAGTATATTTCTGCTTATGTTCCAGCAGTTGGATGATCATCCTCACCATCATCATCATTAGACAAAGACTTTCCAGCAGCAGCTGATGATGATGAAGCTTCCTGATTGGTGGTGGGTGAGTCAACTTGAAAAGTAGCCAAAATGTCCTGCTCAATGAGCTCATCTTCCTCAGTCATTGCAGTGCCAACAGGTGACAAAAACTGCTGCTGAGATGCTGTAGACACATTGATCATCTGCTGCTGACCATCAGCAGTCATTGATTTTGGCCCAACAGAGCTGTTGCTGCTGGAAGCAGCAGAGAACAAGCGACTTGCAAAATGGTCTGGAGACTTTTGTGGGGATGGAGTGAAGAATTGCTGACAAGCAAGGACCTTGCTTGCAGCAGAAGTGATGGAATTGGCATTGCTGGTGTTGAGGCGGTCTGAGTGACTATTTTGCACCTTTTCCACACATGCCAGGCGCTTTTTGAACTGTTGGCTCATGGATGTGAATTCTGCAAGCAGTCTTCCTTGTCTCTCCTGGGACACCTTTAGTTGGTCCTCTGAGAAAAAGTTTGAGAAATTCCTATTTCTATTTCTATATTCATGTTGTATTGCATTTTCTTTTATTTTTGATATCAATTTGTGCTTTCCTGCTCTGAAGTGATTAAAATGTCATTGAGTGGATTTTGGTTGGGTGGGAAGGGGGTTTGATTGTGGGAATCTTGATTGAACCTTGTGAATGCTGAAAAGCGGCAAATAATGCGTTCTGTTCATTCATTTATTCAAATTCCAATTTTGTGGTTGCATTTTGTTGTACCACATGCACCTTTTTTCTCAAGTTTGAAAGGAAAAAAGTGTGGTGCATGCCAAACAAGGTGTACACATTTTTTGAAAATGTTTAGAAGTTTAGAGGTGAGCATATATCATACTTGATTCTAACAAGGAATTCAAATTAAGTTCAACAGAAAATCTTCTTTTAATGGAAGTAATTGAAACTCAGTTGAATTTATGTTCAATTCATGTCTAAATTAAAAATTGGGGTGTTATTTTATTTGAAATATTGTGGTTTTACAGTTTATAAACATGAGGGGATAGGATTTTATCAAAATTTTAAACTGAAAACCCCCAATGGGTTTCTTACTTGAGGGTGCATGTGGTATACTCAAGTAAATATGGTACACATGCAGGTGGCATCCAGGTCCAGATGATATTTTTATGCTTTCCAGAAATGACAACATGACTTTTTTTCTGTTTAAATTAATAATTATGACAATAATCCAAAGAAATGTAAGCTCACCAAGTCGTTCCACTTTCATAATGGTCTTCTCTCTTTCCAATGCAGCAATTTTTTCTGCTTCTTCGTCCAAGAGTCCATCTTTTCGCAACATTCGTCTCCCAGTGTCAAGCAGATTTTCTCTGGCCTCTGGGTAATCGTGCAAAACATCCCACAAGCCGTCCTTTTTCAGCACAAACAAGTCCGAGTACCCGTCGCTTCTCACATTGGCAGTTCTGCGATTCCCGGTTTTGTTGCCAGGGATGTTCAAGATACTGAGCTAAATTTTTTATTAAGAAATATAGATGGTTGGATAATATTTTAATTTTGCACCATATGACATGCCCATACTTTAGAAAATAAAATTAAGGAATAAAAAACCAGATTCAACCAACTTGATAAGCATCAACACAAATGCTGTCTTTCTGTTGAAATTTTTTTGGTCTTGAAATGACAGGCGGAGCAAGTCTGTAATAAAATATACAACCCTAAAAAATAAAGAGAAACTTTTCTTTAAAATGTGAAACAATGGCTCATTATTCTGCTTGGGTGACAAAGTGATATGTTCCTCTCACAGCAGTTCAGCATCACTTATTTTGTTTTTTTGACTTCATTGAAAGAAAAGTTCATTCAAGTAAATGATGATGGAGTGGACACAAAACAACATGGAGTAAAGTTGATTGATGAGGTGTCATGCAAGTGAAAGCTTCCTCTAAAAATCTGTGAAGCCTTCATCAGCAGCAGATATGCATTATGAATCAAAATATGTACAGCAATTGTAGAAACAGTTATTTACTGCTGGATGGCATTTTTTCTGCATTCTTGCCATGAGATTAGCATTGCGCAATTTTGAAAACAATGGTTTCCCTTCTCTTGGATTTTTCCAGACCTTGGCTACTCAGTCAAATCTGTATTTTGGTGAACTTTGGTCAAACTAAAATGCACAAGCATGCAAAAATTTCCCAGCAATGGAAATTGACCTGCTGCCATCTAAGGGTCAAATGCCAAGGGGAGGGGGGGGGGGGAGGTTGAAAGTTTCAAATAAATGGTGGGGGCATTTATTGGAGTACAGTCAAGTCAAGCCACAATTTAGTGCCATAATTTGTGCTGGCACATTTTAAGGGGGGCAATAAATCAGGGGTATTGTGTCAGAAGAAAATTCATTTTAAGGATTCCACTACCATGGTAACATAGGGTTTTCTTGAGCAAAATGTTTAGGCCATTTAGTCTTTTTTATAAAAGAAAGACGCAGAAAATTTTTTTGAGACTCAACTGATATTTTTTACTTTATCTAAATTGAAGTTAGAGTGAAGAATATGTTGGCGTTTTGCACAAATGTGGTCAAGTGAAGGAGTGAAACTGTTTCTTATAGCTTTGAATCAACCTTTCAATGAAAGCAAATACATTAAATCCAAGATAAGGTGGAGTATTTCAATTTTGAAGAGACAATCCTATAGCTACTGAGATGCTATTTGCTGTAGAAAACATCCAAATAAAAACTGGGTTAACTTCTTTATATTTTTATATTAAAATTTTTAATAGACTCGTACCTGTACACTAAGAGTCACTATTCAGACTATTGGATAGAGTTCTTCATGTGAAAGTAAAAAGACTAAAACCGGATATCGACAGGGAGTATTTTTTTTAGCACTATATAAGTGAGTTGGCGCTAAATTGGGGTTTCCCTTATATTAAGAACACAATTGAAAGAGATTTGTTCCAGGGAAATTGATGGCACTAAATCAAGGGTGGACTGCTGTATGCATTTAGTAATTACATTATTACCATATTTACTCAAGTACCACGCGCCCTCAAGTAAGGCACGCACAGGAGTTTTCCAGTTGAAAATTTGGCTAAAATCTTATCCCTGAGTAAGACACTCACCTCAATTTTTAGTGAATCTAAAACCAAAAAATTTTGAAAATAAATACAAAAATTGACTGTAGTCATCATGAATTGAACAAAAATCTGATCAATTTTCAACTTTTTCAGTAAAGTTTTCTTGTTACATTTTTTTTCAAATTTCTTCATTATAATTAATTATAATGCACACATTAACTTCCTAAAACTTCTTGAAAAATTTGTACCCACTTATGACGCGCACCTCTTTTTTTCTTCTCCTGAAATTTGAGAAAAAAAGTGCTTGTGGTACTCAATATGTAAATAGGGATTTATTTGGCTCAGCAGCAGCAGGAAATAAAAGATAAAACCCAATTGAAGAAATATAAAAATATAATTTTAAAAATTATCTGAGCATGGACATGTGATTCTCAGTGATAAGTCTGATAACCTATCTCAAGAAGTACACTTTCATTTTTCTGATTTTGGCCTATAGTACAGGGAATATTTTTTGTAGCACTATAAGTGAGTTGGCGCTAAATTGGGGTTTCCCTTATATTAAGAACACAATTGAGAGAGATTTGTTCCAGGGAAATTGATGGCACTAAATCAAGGGTGGACTGCTGTATGCATTTAGGAATTACATTATTACCATATTTACTCAAGTACCACGGGCCCTCAAGTGAGGCACGCACAGGAGTTTTCCAGTTGAAAATTTGGCTAAAATCTTATCCCTGAGTAAGACACTCACCCCAATTTTTAGTGAATCTAAAACCAAAAAATTTTGAAAATAAATACAAAAATTGACTTTAGTCATCATGAATTAAACAAAAATCTGATCAATTTGCAACTTTTTCAGCACAAAAAAAGTTTTCTTGTTACATTTTTTTTTCCAAATTTCTCCATTATAATTAAGTATAATGCACGCATAATTTCCTAAAACTTCTTGAAAATTTTGTACCCACTTATGACGCGCACCTCTTTTTTTCTTCTCCTGAAATTTGAGAAAAAAAGTGCTTGTGGTACTCAATATGTAAATAGGGATTTATTTGGCTCAGCAGCAGCAGGAAATAAAAGATAACTCACCTCCCCAAACACACTGCCGTCCCTCAACTTGACAAACACCTTCTCCCCGTCGTCGGCCACCACGCTCAACACGCCTCGTTTGACAATGTACATCTCCCTGCCCACGTCGCCCTTTTTGCAAATGTAGTCGCCGGGGCTGAAGACCTGCAGCTGGAGCCTGAGCACCAGCTCTTGCAGCAGCCCTGCCTCAAAGTCCTGGAACAGCTTGACTCGCTTCAGGGTGTCCAAGTGCACGTGGATGGCGATTTCCGCCTGCAACTTGTCCGGCAACGTGGACAAGACCTCGTCCTCGTCCAGGGACAGCTTGTTGGTCCACAAGTAGTCGAACCACTTGATGACGCGCTCTTCCAGCTGCTTGGACACCTTGCGGAACGTCATGTACTGCTTGATGCGGTCCATTTTGGCCTGCAAATTTTTACAATAATGACTAGCTAATAATATATTGATAGAATTGGGAATACTTATTACAAGGAGAATAATAAATGTATGAAGTGATATTAGCATATATGCGTGGGTTGTTTCATGAGTTTTGAAACTTGTTGAAACAGATTCAATGAAGTTTTGACAATTCCAAAATTTTTTTTTTTTGCTTGCATATACAGTGAGATTCCCACATGCAGACACCTTGACCTGCGGAAAATTTGACGTAGGGACACTTATTTTCCCAGAAAATTTTAATAAAAAAAAAGTTTCAACATGAGGACACTGATTCAACACAGGGACATTTTGTGATAAAATTGCAAATACATTTCAGGTCAAATTACAAGAAACAGATATTTCCAACCCTGAAATTGATGTGAGAAAAGTTCTTGGGCATTTCTCTCACCAATTTACCATCCATTTAGCTAATTTTAAAAAATTACCTCCAGCATCATAGAGGGACTTCTACTTTTTTTTCACTTATTGAATGTTATTTTTGTNTAGCTAATTTTAAAAAATTACCTCCAGCATCATAGAGGGACTTCTACTTTTTTTTCACTTATTGAATGTTATTTTTGTAGATGCCAACAATTCAATGTACAGTACAGAGATACACTATTCAATTCTCCAAATGTTCTTATTGAGTTGAAAATGCATTCATTAATTCAAATCCAAGCGGCAAACAATTTTTTTCAGGGAATTCTGAAGAATATTTCTTCCAGAAAACACCAATTAAAATTATATAATGTAAGTCTATGGGGAAAAAAGACTTGACTTAAGGACAATTCAACTTAAATAGGGACACTCTTGATGCACCAATTATGCCCGCATCTTGGGGTCTCACTGCATAGCCCCATCATTTGGCCACTCTTGAGCACTGTTCAATGTACTCTCCACCAATTTCAATGCATTTTTTCATGCAATAAATCAAATGATCAAAATAGTGCCAAAAATTGAGTTCACATAATTGTTTGGGCACTTTATTGTGACTTCTGTCTGTTCTTGACAGTGAAGAGCAACCTAGAATTAAGGGATTGATTTTTATTTACTACGAACCTGGAACTCGGCCTGGTCTGCGTTCATGTTGGTGATCATGGAGCCCACGTTGCCGACGATAGTGGCGAAAATCAGCACGCCGATCAGGAAGTCGATGATGGTGAAGAAGAATTCCCAGTCGGTGACGGGCTGCGGCACTTCTCCGATCGTCGTCAACGTCATCGTCGACCAGTAAAAGCTGTAAATGTACTTGTACGACAGGCGTTCGTAGACCCCATCGTCGATGTCTCTGTACACCCAAGTATCCGTCCCAAACCCTATATATAATGTATAGTTGAAAAAGTATATCAATATTAATTTTTTTTGAGTGCATAAAATCAAGTAATGGCTATAAGATGGACTCTATACATGATGTATATTAGTGTAACGGATTCTGAAAATGCATCCCAACTTATTCTCTTGAATCTTTCGCAAATGATGCATAAAATAAGAGAGTTGTCCCACTTGCGCGCGACCTTGCTTATTATAAACCTATCCAGCAGGTGTGATTGTAAAAAATAATAATAATAAAAATAAGCATGATGCATCCCACGATTTTGTATTATTGTTTTTTTTTAATTTTTACAGGATTAAAAATAACATTTTCTATTTACTGCATGATTATACAGGAAATGGAAAGTTTCCAGTTACATGACCAGAGTTCTCCATCACCCAAGTCACAGCTGGTGCTAAAAATTTTTCAGGACAGCTGAAAATTGAAATTTTTTTGCTGTCTGAAGCATTATCTAAAACAGTGTTCTCCAATTCATGATGGCCTGCAGACTAGCACCAGTCTGGAGAAGATTTTTGCCAGTCCACAGGAAATTTCCAGCTTAATAAATTTATCAAATTTGGGATGATGTCTGTTCTCTTATTACCTAATATTTTTGAAAGGACAATGGCAGTTGAATTATCTGATGATGAAACCAAAAATTGGCTTTTCTCCTAATAAAACTTGAGACAAATTTTCACCAACTGAATAAATTATTATAAATTTTCATTCTGAGAAATCTTTGTACAAGCCCAGCTTTCTAATAGTTTGATGACATTCTTAACTGAATTTTTCTCGTAAATACCTGCCTAATAACATTGAAGCAAAACTTTGGTGAGTCTGCAACAATTTTATGAAACTTTGCCAGTCCACTAAAATTATTTTTGGGAATTTGCCAGTGAACAAAAAAATTTCCAAAATTTGCCAGTCTGCTGGCCCAAAAAGGTCGAGGAACACTGATCTAAAATATAGAAAATATAGTAGATAAAACAACAAAAAGTTCAATTTTTATCCGGCCTGAAAAATGTTTACACCCTTTGATGAGGTTGGAGAATTCTGTCTGTAACTGGAATGTTTTCTTTTATAAACATTCAATAAATTAAAAAATTTAAAATCCCAAGAAAAAAATCCCAGAAAATTCCAACATCATGGGCTAAACAGTATCATAATTTTTTTTTACAGTCATATCTACAAAAAATAACCAAGGTCGCGCGCAAGTGGGACAACTATTGGAATCGTTATTCAAAAAGTTTTGAAATTTTTCAGGGTCGTATGATGCATTTAGCAGATACTGCGCAGCAAAATAAATTTTAAAAATATTTACAGTGCGTCTGAGTTCTCGAATTATCTTCATTAAAAGAGGGACTATATAAAATAAAAAAAAGTTGATGAAATTGCGTCTCTATATATATAAATTTAGTAGATTAAAAAATTAATCTAAAAAACCATGTCATCAGTTTCTAAGCTATCCTGAAAGTTTCAGCTTGCTAGCTAGTCAGGAAGTGAGCAAAATTTGAGTTGCAAAATTTGATCCGGACAAACAAACGGACAAGAAAGCGAGTTAATAAAAACGTGTTAAAATGATGCGTCACTCATGATGTGCTTTAATCTTTCTCTCTCTTTTTTAATACAGCGGTAATTATGAATGGCATTAAAAATAATGTGCGCTGTAATAATAATATCACCTATGACGTAGCTGATGGCAAAGTAAAGACACGCGTTCCAGTGGATGATGACCAGAATGTACACGATGACCTTCCCGATCCTGAAGACGTTGGGGAAATTGGTCAGGGTTTCCGTTCTCTCGAAGAACTCAAAGAGCCGAGGCAGTTTGAAGAGGCGATTCAACCGGACGATGACCGGACACGGAACCCGTCTGTCGCAGGAAGTGCCCCAAACGAGGTACACCAGGTCTGTGGGAACCAGGGAAACCAGGTCCAACTTGAAGTAGATGGTTTTGCGGTAGTTTTTGTGCAGCTTCGTGTGATCCGTCACCAGAAGGCCTTGTTCCAGGTAACCTTTTAATTATGATTGGAGAAATTACGGGAGAGTCAATGCAATTATATCAATAAACTCATTCATTTATCTTTTTGCATTATACTGTAGTTGAAAACTTTGAGATTTTAAATTCAACTTGAACATGCATGTACAGTAGTGCGACCCCGAGATGCGGACATGATCCGTGCATGGACGTAATTGTCACTAAGCTAGAATAATGTCTGCATATCAAGTCATTTTCCTATTTAGACTTTAACGATAATATGTTCAATTGTATAGATAGATGAATAGGTATAAGAAAAAGACCCCCAAACCTTGAATAAAATAATTTTTTCTCAACTCCCTGGTACAGATGGTACCTTGAAATTTGACCATAATCTGTTGCCAGACTAGGATAAAATTGCAAAATGGTCAAATTGTGATGAGACATTTCATAGAATTGAGAAATATCAGCACAAAAATAAAAAAGTGGCCAAAGCAGGTTAAATTCTGGAGCAGAGGTCAAATTGCAAGTCAACCTCCCTTCAAATTTGACCATCAAATTGCGGGATGGTCAAATATATTCCAAGGTACCACTGCTGTATATGAAATACATTTACAACAGAAAACCACACAGAATCTGATTTTTTGGCACCAAAAGAAGCTCAGGAAGCAAAGAACAAGAGCAAGGCTTGTTATATACAGTACCAGACATACATGATGAAAAAAATTAAAAAAGAAGCACACAATTGATCCTGCTTTCAATCATGAATTGGGTTAATTGAAAAATCTATTTTAAGAAAATGCAGTAGCTCAATTTTTCTAAGAAGTATTGTATAAACATTTACTTAGATAATTACAATATTTAAATTCTTCAAAAAGTCTTGGAAAAGTGTCTGTATTTCAAGTCACCATATATACATTTCATGGGCAGATTTTTTTGATTGTGAGTGTCCCTAAGTCAAATTTTCTGCATTTTGGGATCTCACTGATGCATATACTCAGAAAATTATTGACAATAACTAATTTCATCTCACACCTATATAAACAATAAAACTGCTGGCATTTCAAAATTGTGCACAGGAAGAATAAAGTAAATAACATGAATAAATGGTTGATCCCAAAAAATTCTAAAAATTTCAACAAGATTCAATACAACTTCAAAATGTTTCTTTTAATTAGGAATAAAACTGAGAAATACAAAGGATTAATTTTCATGTTGCTTGTCAGCATTTTCATAATCAAGAATTTAATTTTTAACAATAAAAATGGCTGCCCCCATTTCAAAGCTTAAGATTCTTGCCCATATAGTACTGTATTACATATATACTTTGTACAGTAGTGAAGTTAATTACCTTCATGGGCTCTAATGGCTGTGTCAATAAGGTGGATAACATCAGTGGAATAGTCCAACACCATCCAGGCTTCAGGCAAGGCCATTTGCAAGTCCCAGAACACGCTTCTCGCAATAATCATCACCACGTTGTACAACACTGCTGCAGAAATAACTGCGAGCCACTGATGATGTCCAGCAATATATACACAATTTTGCGAATTTCCAGAGAAAAAAAAAACAATTAGTTAATGCTCATTCCTTTCATATGTAAAGCCTTCATTTTTTTTTAAACGGCTCACTTTGTAGTGATAATCCTTGGAAGTATCGATAATCCAACTCGAACGCCATTCTTTGCTTGACTGGAGGAAATTGCGCAAATTTGGCACCAATGTCCGCATTGCCAGAGCAAAATTGCGCGCTGTTGATGGTTTCATCCTTCCCCGATTTTCTTCCTGTTTTCAGAGTGCAACATAATTTTCAAGATTTACCCATCAATTATCTCGAATCGACATAGAAACAGAAAAACGATTAATTTGAAGGGAAATAAAAATAGGACGTGTCAATTGACACTTTTTTGTGAACAGTTTTGGAAATGAATTTATTTTTACCAACCTGCTGTGATGGCGATGACCCATCATCAATCTCCACTTGCAGAGCAAAAAGAGAATTATTTTTCCCATTGCTGTTTACTACTTTTTCAGCTTGACTGACTTTCGCCATGTTTTTGTTCATCAGCCAGTTTCAAGACCAGTCACAATAACAAGAGTCACAAACATTGTTATTGTTTGCTTTATCAGCTGAATTCAATTTTCTGCCAATGTCTATATAGAAGAACGAAATTGCAGGAAAGATTCATATTTTCTGTACATCTATTTGAGCATTGAGTATTTCCTCTTTGAAATGAAACCTGATCACTAAATTTTGTTTAATTCTTGTTTTTCATAATTTTCAGCTATTAAACTGGAAATTTCACAATTTTCTTCAACTGTCAGAAATAAAGGTAAAATATGCTTTAATAAAAATAATAATATATTTTCTTGAACATGATATTCTAGCAAGATCATGTTTTCTGGATAAAAAAAATATGTCATGAATAACTTCAACATTTCTGCAAGTTTCTTATATTTCAAAAACCCATCCCAAGACTGCAACTGATCCTGTTGTATAATAATATTACAGTATCAAGATAATATATATTATATTATTATATATTATTTATTAAATTATTTTAATATTATCATTAAGAAAGTATTTCTGACAAGAAATACTTTCTCACCAGTAAGAGAGAAGTGAATCAAAATACTAATAGTTGGAAAGGAAAAACTTCATCAGCCAGCAGGCTGTGGCCAGGGCAAAGACCTGCCACAGGTGTGGTACCTTGCAAGTTGGCCTCCCACAATTTTACTGTTGAGCAATTTGATGGTCAAATTTGAAGGGAGGTTCACTTGCAACACAACCCTTGCCACAAAATTTGACCTGCTTTGGTCACTTTTTTTCTGGTTTTGCACTGATATTTTCAAATCACACAAAATGTTTTGCAATTTGACCCTAGTTTGGCCACAGATTATAGGGCTGAATTGCAAGGTACCACCTGTATAACGTTGCTCTATTTTGAATGGTTTTGACTGGGACTGTTTCACCAGATCTTTTCAGGACATGTTTGTAATCAAACACAATCAATTGGAATTTTGCAATCACAAAGTACTCTTGCAAGGTCTGCACACAAAGATTGTTGATTCTCAACTAACTTGTTTTTTTGGTCAGAACTTGACCAGCAAAACTTCAAGATGCAAGGGATAAAGCTTGTCCTTGCAGAATTTCAGGTATTTTAGGAAATAGTCCATGGAGGACAATAATTCTCACAGAGAAGACTATGGGAACTTGAGGTCAGTTTTGGTTCCATATATGGGATTCCTGAGGAGATTAGTTCAAGTATTGCTAATCTCAAAACTTGTCTTTCTGAACATCCCATTTTCTTCTTGACAGTTATCCATATAAAATTTCAACTTGAAATTTACATTTTCCAAAAATTAATGTTCAGAACATTTTTCTGGAGATTTTAGGCTTCTTTTCCAACACACAGAAGGATTCCTTTACTAAACTACATCAAAAAATAGAAGCATACAATCAAGGATAATCACGCAAAAAAGAATCAAATCAGCAAAAAATGCAAGCACAGCAGGGAAATGTAGCAAGAAAATGACGACATTTGCCAATGGTATATAAGTGTCATTCATGCAAGAGATGACAGCACATACTAAAAGGTGTCGTGAATATCAGTGGAATAGACATTTGGG